GTTCTTGTCCTAATCTGAGCATACACTGGTACATGATAGGATCACATCAAGGATGGAAGTTTCCATACTTGAATTTCTGCAGGAATGAAAAGAAGTTAAAGCCAGTAAGAAAGAAATCAAGCTTAATTATTATCTAAATGGATCACAGGGATTAAAAAACATTCTTTATTTTGTAGTATTATTATTTGTATTGAATTTATTTTTAGTAGACTGGTATGTTACTGAATTGAATTTCTTGAATTTAAATGTGCCATTTTGTATGACACGTACATTTGAAGTGCTGAAGAACATACTGCTTTGATCTTTGAGTACTCTATTTCTTGTTCAATGGGAAAATTAGAATTTGGGGAATCTTGAGTTTATTCCCAGGAATATCATTATCCAAAAGAAAAAATGGGAGTTCATTATACTGTCTGAATAATACAACATGTAAATCATTTTCTTGCCTTAAAATTAAATGTTATTTTACACTGTATGTATTCATGTGTATACATATTCACTTGTATGTGTATAGGTACTATAATTTAGGGCATTTTTAGGATGGCAGCAAAATTTTTATGTCATAAATAAATAACAATGAATGTCACTTTAAGAATCTTAACACTTCCAGTTACATGGGGTTAGTTATTTTTTATTTCTCATCAGCTTCATGGAATTCCAGAGTTTCTGAGTTTGTATTGTTAACTAAATCATGTTCTATTTTTTTAAAAATCTATAAATTTTATTTTTAAATTCCTACTTAATACTTTTGGTTGAATACTGTAATCAATACACAATTCTTCTTAAGTGCTGAAACTTAACTGAAAAGTGATCGCTGTTAAATATAAGAGTGGGAATAAGAGAGGGAAGAGATGTGCAATTCGGGACATGCTCAAGATGACTTACCTCAAACGGTAGAGTTAGAAACATACCAGGGGATTCCAATTCAATCCCATTGAGGTGGCATGTACCAATGCCATCTCACTAGTCCCAGTGATCAATTTCTGTTCACAATTGGTCATAATGATAGGACTAAGAACCAAAGAGATCACATAAACAAGAATAGTATCTGCAAATACTAGCTGATAGAATAAAAAAGGGAGAGAATGATCCAACATGGGAAGTGAGATACACAGCAGACCCATAGAATGGCAGATGTCCTAAACAACACTCTGGCCTCAGAATCAGCCCTTAAGGCATGCGGATCTGGCTGAAAAGCCCATGAGAGAATTTCAGGCATGGAAAGCCAAGACACTCTGGGGAAAAAAAAAAAAAAACATCTAAATGAAAGATATCCACAAGTGAGATCCTAGTGGAAAGAATGGGTCATCAAAGAAGGAGGTACCTTTCTCTGAAGAGAGGAAAGAACTTCCACTTTGACCATGGCCTTTTCTAAATATGATCAGAGTCAGTGAACTCAGGGGGCTTCCATAGCCTTGGCAGCTCTTGACAGGAGCCTAGGGTGATTACTGAGGCCATAAACAAGAGTGTCAATTTGTTAAGTCAACAACAGGAGTCACTGTGCACTTACTCCTCATGTAGGATCTTTGTCCTTAGTGTGCTGTACATTGAGATTTAATGCTATAACTAGTACTCAAACAATATTTTTCACTTTATGTTTCTGTGTGGGAGAAACTGTTGAAATCTTTACTTAATGTATGCTAAACTGATCTTCTGTATATAAAGAGAATTGAAAATGAATCTGGATGTGAATGGAACGGAGAGGGAGTGGGAAAGGGGAGGGTTGCGGGTTGGAGGGACGTTATGGGGGGGAAGCCATTGTAATCCATAAGATGTACTTTGGAAATTTATATTCATTAAATAAAAGTTAAAAAAAAGAAATGCAGGATAATAAATTTCTGTTGTATAGAGATACTAAAAAAAATAAAACAAATATACCTATTCAATAAATACTTAACTTTAGATAATTTAATGCTTAATTTGAGAAAGGCAGGGACAGCCTCCTGGGTGTCTCCGTATCGGAAGGATCCTGTGCTTGCTTTGGTGTTCCAACGTTGCCATCTTGAAATGTTTAATCATTTGCCTTTGGACTTTTGTAAGTTTATTCTTGTGAGACTAGGAAGAGAGGATGTGAGCAGAAGCGCTGTGGAGTGGAAGCAGTGTACCCACAGGTTCTGCCTGCAGGCATAGCAGGCAGACAGATGCCAAACAATGGACCTTGCAGCAAGTCACACATTTGCGTATGCATGACTCAGCAGCCTGGGACGTTATGTGTCCCTAATGTGGCCAAATCATGGCTAAACCGTGATACACAATGGCAATAGGAGCAGCAGCAACAGCAGCAGTGAGAGCAGTGATATGAGAGACAAATGAGTCCCTGTGCAGGCAGGGGTAGCTTCCATGCTGAGAAGCCTTCTTGTCCATCATTTTTGTATACTCAAGGAGATAAACACAGTATCTACACAAAAGTTAAATGTCCCACATAAGTTACAAGACAATATCTGCAACACTCAGACAATAATTTTTATCAACAAATTATTTTTAAAACAGGTATATACATGTGCATTGCAATAAGAACATCCAGGAGTTGTTAGAATTCCTTAGAGTTTACATATGCCCACTTTTGAAATGGATGCAACATTTCAAAGCAATTATCTACAAGCTTATAAACACAAATTAAATTTAAATGCTATTTTCATGTGAAATTTTAAATGAACCAACTATTAAGAAGGAATGTACCTTAAGATTATATTTTCTGGGGCCAGCGCCGTGGCTCACTAGGCTAATGCTCTGCCTGCAGTGCCAGCATCCCATATGGGTGCCAGGTTCTAGTCCCAGCTGCTCCTCTTCCAGTCCAGCTCTCTGCTGTGGCCGGGGGGGGGGGGGGCAGTGGAGGATGGCCCAAGTGCTTGGCACCTGCGTCTGCATGGGAGACCAGGAGGAAGCACCTGGCTCCTGGCTTCAGACAAGCGCAGCGCGCCGGCCATAGAAGCCGTATGAGGGATGAACCAACAGAAGGAAGACCTTTCTCTCTGTCTCTCTCTCTCACTGTCTGTCAAATAAAAAAAAAGGTTATATCTTCTTATAGCTAAAGCCACTAATAGAATACATAAACAGGCATTTTGAATTAGAAATAATGAAATTACATTTTGTTTCTTGAACAAAGCTAATAAGTTATAGGAAATGTCAGAATATTTATAATTCCAATATGTGTATTTAACATTAAATTCAATATAAAGACAAAATAAGTGGTCCTTGCTCTGATAGAATTATTCAGTGTAGAGAATTATATGTGTTGACTGTTGTGATAAAACAATACACATACAAATGCAACAAAATTGCAAAGAACTAAATATACATGCACACAAATAAGTACGTTGGAGTTAATGAGTGAGTAAGACCAGTGGATTCTGTCTGTGTCCATTTCCTGGTGTGCTATTGACTGCAGTTTGCAAGATGATTATTGGCAAAACTGAATGAAATCTGTATAAAATCTCTCTATATATTATTTTTTACAGGCTGCATGAGAATCTACAGTTTTCTCAAAACAGAAAACTTAATTCAAAAAATCAAACTCAAATATATATGGAATTGGTTTGTACAAAGGGTTAAATCTTTATAGAGAAAGGTTTCCATGTGAATCATCAGCTTTAGAAGCACTAAAATTTTGAAAGTAATTTATTGAAAATTTGTCTCAGTGTTGTCACAGCTTGTCAAATACTCTTAATAGCTCTGGTAACAGTTACATCAACAGAAAGATATTCCTGAAAATTTTAAAAATCAATTATTTGTAATCTTGTATTAGGCAAGAGCAACTGATGTAACTTTCATTTATATCATTGAAAATGAAATTGCTAATTGTATAAAAATTTGATGACCTAAGAAATGGACTTGAAGAAAAGTAAGCCAACAATTTTATGATCAATCAACATGTAATGATAATGTAGCACTATTATTTATAGCATTCTGTATAGTTATGACACCAAAGTTTTTTTATAATTTGTCCGTTTGTGCAGTTACTTTTCTATGGCAATTATTTATTTATGTGTTATAACTAGCAAAACATTTTTAAAGGAAAAGTCATTATAGTTTCTTATCTTCAATAGCACCTTTACTTCCCAGTGTGTTGAACTAGAGACCCCAAACTTTTGTTTTACACCAACACTCAGAAATTGTCTAAGCCCAAGACAAGGAAATTTGATACAAATGGACCAAAAAAACACTTTAAGTTTTACCAAAAATACTTTAAATAGATATTTGACAATTTATTTCTACAGAATTGATCTTGTAGTAAACTTAGGATAACATCAGAAGTTACAACTAGTAAGTAATATCAGAAGTCAGCCTTTTTATTTTCAGAAGATTTGCCAAGATATTCTTTGCCTTTTTAATTTCATTTTATTGTTTTACAAAACACCACAAAATTGATTCAATATCAATTCTTACATTTTAATTTCTGAAGAAATATATTGCTCCAAGACAGAGCTTCAGGGAAATCTTTTCATGATGAAAGTTGTATTTTAAAATATGTTTGTTTATTTTTCATTTACAAAAGATAAGAGGATTAAGGACTGCACAGATATATCAGTTAGGATTTTTAAAATTTGAATACCATAGTTTTGTTAAGATTTTTATAGTTAAGCTCATATGTTTCACACCCATCTGCTACATTTCTCAGTTTGCAAATATATTACTATAGAATGACCAGATTTCCTTGAAACTTTAACATGATTCCATAAACATTCACTCTTGGCACATTTATATTATACTCAACACCATGGTCCCTCAGGAATTTTAATTTTTAAAGCAGCAAACTTAAAACTAATCAAGAAGTTGTTTTAACAGATTTTCACAGAAGGCATTTCAGTTGATTAAATACTAACAGTAGATCTTTCCCATATTTTTATTAGCAGTTAGTGAGAAATATGTGCATAAATGCTCCATCATATTTTCCCCTACATATTCACTGTGCTATAATGCTTCTGTGTGCAGATCATACGTAATTTTTATTCAGATTTTCCTGATAGCTCCGCATGTCTTCTTTTTCTCTCCTGTTCCAGAATGATTCCTGGGGAAAGCAGTATTCATACGCGCTCTTCAAAGCTATGAGTCACATGCTGTGCATTGGGTATGGAGCCCAAGCCCCAGTCAGCATGTCTGACCTCTGGATTACCATGTTGAGCATGATTGTCGGGGCCACCTGCTACGCCATGTTTGTTGGCCATGCCACTGCTTTAATCCAATCTTTGGATTCTTCAAGGCGGCAGTATCAAGAGAAGGTAATTTATTTTATCTCTAACCAGCTCAATCAGCTGGTTGAATTAGTGTTCAACCTAATTAAGCCATCTCCCGTATTCAAAAATATAATAGGTAAAATGTCTTAAGTGAGAAAGCACTATCTGTTTTAGTATGCCAGCATTTCTTCAAGATGGACTTTATAGCTTTTGTTAGTTCTTGATTTCTCTCAGGAATAACTAATTTAAAAATAAATCTACAGAGCCGGCGCCACGGCTCACTAGGCTAATCCTCCGCCTTGCGGCGCCGGCATACCAGGTTCTAGTCCCGGTCGGGGCGCCGGATTCTGTCCCGGTTGCCCCTCTCCCAGGCCAGCTCTCTGCTGTGGCCAGGGAGTGCAGTGGAGGATGGCCCAGGTGCTTGGGCCCTGCACCCCATGGGAGACCAGGAGAAGCACCTGGCTCCTGCCATCAGATCAGTGTGGTGCGCCGGCTGCAGCGCGCCACCTGCGGCGGCCATTGGAGGGTGAACCAATGGCAAAGGAAGACCTTTCTCTCTGTTTCTCTCTCTCTCTCTCACTGTCCACCCTGCCTGTCAAAAAAAAAAAAAAATCAAAAATAAATAAATAAATCTACAGATTTTGAATCTACAGAAAAGCTACTTCATGTATGAAATGTTTGAAGCTGAAATAAGGTGTAAATATGGTTCATGTCATCTTATATTTCAACAATCTTAACAATATAATACAAGCCTTTGTCTGTTATATCCTCTGAAATGTTAGGTGATAAAATGAGGTAGCAACCATTGCACATGTTCCTTTGATCCTTTTCTCATGATAAAGCCATAATTTATATTACAACACATATACTCAGTTGAATATATGTTGTTATTATATCTAGATAATTCACCACACCATCATGTTAAAAAATGCTATCATTGCTGCTATCTTTCTCCTTTTTTAAAATAAAAGATTCGTTTATTTAAAAGTCAAGAGTTACAGAGTGAGGAGATATATAGATGTATATCTATATAGAGAGAGATCTTCCATCTGTAGGTTCACTCCCCAGATGGCCACAAAAGCCAAGGCTAAGCCAGGCTGAAACCAGGAGCTTCATCTGGGTTCGCACAAAGGGGACAGAGCCCAAGTACTTGGGCTATCTTCCATTGCTTTCTCAGGCCATTTGCAGGGAGCTGCACAGGAAGAAGAGCAGCCAGGACATGAACTGGCACTCATATGGGATGTGGGCATTGGAAGCAGTGGCCTTACCTGCTATGCTACAACACAGGCCCCGTCTTTCTTTCTTAAGCACAATGTGTTAATTAAAATGATTATTATTCTAAACTTTTTTCAAAAGAGAGAAAGTATATGGTATGATTTATTTACCAGATTTTTTTTTTCATATACTGAATTACTTTGGATTGGACTACACATTGGGGAATTGGAAAGAACTAATATTTCTGACTATGCATCAGTAACATTCTGACAAATATTTTATAACTGAAAAAATGCATAACAATAGACTCCATTGATTGTGGTAGTATATAACATGAACCCTATCAAAGAGCATTTCCAAAAGTAAGGGTTTAAGTAGTTCAACAATACTTCATTTAGTAAATTATTACAGCTTAGACTCACAAATGTTTTTCAGACTAACTTCATTTCAGCTGTGTCTTGTTTAGAGAATTTTTCAACATTTACTCCTACAATAGGGTAAAGGAAATCTAGATACTTTTTTCCCTTGATTATAATGATATCACCACAGTTAACAGTGAGTCAATTGGTATTTAATTACTGAGATATTGAAAAGACTATTTCCTTAAGGTTTAGGGTTTAATTTGCTTTAAGCATTATTTTAAAAATAAGAATCCATTGAAGTTGAGAATGAGGAGCCTAAGACAGAAGAATTTTATACAATAGTAAACTTGAAAATAATCAAAGGAATTTGGGCCAATTTAATGGGGACTTAAGGTTAAGACCACAGCATGATAAATCTGATGTTTCTCTTACACTGTTGCTTTTTCCTTTTCAGTTGATGTTGCTTAATAAAAAAAAGAAAAAAAAAACTTACTGCCTTACTTCTGTGAAGCATCGCTGCACATTTCTTAAAAACAAACAAGTCTTCAGTTTTCTAGGATTGTATTAATATTGCCTCCAGTTTTATCTTTTTTTTTTTAGAGATTTATTTTATTTTTGAAAGACAGCGTTACAGAGAGAGGTAGAGATATATAGAGAGAGGTCTTCCATATGCTGGTTCACTCCCCAGATGGCCACAATGGCCAGAGCTGCACCGATCCAAAGCCAGGAGCCAGGTGCTTCTTCCGGTCTCCCACGCAGGTGCAGGGGCCCAAGGAGTTGGGCCATCCTCTACTGCTTTCCCAGGCCATAGCAGAGTGCTGGATCAGAAGAAGAGCAGCCAAGACTAGAACTGGAGCCCATATGGAATGCTGGCACTTCAGGCCAGGGCGTTAACCCACTGTGCCACAGCACTGGCACCAGCAGTTTTATCTTTTTAGTTTTGCTATGTAAGTCAGCCTTAAGTTGGGACTCAGTTTGTTAACTATGTAATCATAGGCATTGGATTTAAATATACTATGTCGTAAGTGTTACACTTCAAGTCAATGAGTTATTGATCTTACAAATACTTGATAGATGGCAAGGATATAGGGTTAACCCTTTGTTATTTTTTGACATTTGAAGCAATTTAGTCAGGAGGAGTTGATCAAAAGGTATTTTGGTTTTCTCTTTGTTTTGTTGGTCTCCAAACCAAAACCTGTCAAAAAGTTTGCTTCTAGGATACTGTATGCATTTTGTAGTCAGTTTAATTCAGGACAGATCTAACAAACATGTTGGGGACAGCTCTTTGGCATAGTAGACTAAGCCTCCACCTGTGGTGCCAGCATCCCATATGGGTCAGGTTTGAATCCAGACTGCTCCTCTTCCCATCCACCTCTCTGCTAGTGGCCTTGGAATACAGTGAAAGATGATCCAAGTACTTGAGCCCCTGTACCCATATGAGAGACCTGGAGGATCATCCAGGCTCCTGGCTTCAGCTCTTCCCAGCTCTGGCTGTTATGGCTATTTAGGGAGTGAACTAGCATATGGAAGATCTCTCTCTGTCTATCCTTCTCTCTGTAACTCTATCTCCAAAATAAATGAATAAATCCTAAAAAAAAAATTCAAGGCATCTGTAACAGATGATATCAACACATCTAAAGACAAACATTATCTATAAGAGTAATTAATCTTTCCCAAAAAGTTAAACATAGATTCCACTCCTATACATGTACACAAAACAACTGAAAATAGGTACACAAATACTTGCACAATAACCAAAGATGGGAAAACAGCAAATGTCCATCAATTAATGAATGAATGAATGAACACAATGTGCCATATCTATACAATGGAATATTAATCAGCTATAAAAATAAATGTAGCATTAATACATGATACAATGTGGATACAAAGCTCAATAAAGGTCATATATTATATGATTACATTTATATGAAATATTGAGAACAGGGAACTGTGTAAATATAAAGCAGACCAGTGGTTGCCCTGGGACTTGGGTGAGGGGGGAATGGGGAATGAGTGCTCACTAAGATCCTTTTGGGGAGGGTAAAGATGTCCTGGAAGTAGCTAAAAGTGCTGATTTAATAATATTGTGAATGGACTAATTGCCACTTTAAAACTGTTAATGTTAAATTTTATGAGAATTAGACCTAACACAAATTGCACTAATTAAGCAAAAAAAAAAAAAAGGTAAAACAAAGTAGCCAAATTACAGAAGCTGAAATGAATCAAACACTATGTACAGCAAACCTATAGAACTGAATTGAAAATTAAATATATATTGTTCAGATGGCTGCAACAGCAGGGTGTAGGCCAGGCTGAAGCCAAGAGACGAGAGTTTCTTCTGGGTCTCCTATGTGGGTAGCAGGAGCATGGACTTGAGCCATCTTCCACTGCTTTCCAAGGTATATTAGCAGGGAGCTGGTTTGGAAGTGGAGCATATGGGATGTCAGCATCGCAGGCAGAGGCTTTACCTGCTACACCACAGTGCCCAATTAATATTGGTATTATTTTAACTCCAATGTGCCCAGAAATAACATGAGTTTTTATGAAAAACAAGCAAACTCTAAAAGCATGTTTAGGGTTCATTAAGAGTATATGAATATTCAAGGAAAAATTCATTTGTAGACATAATACTATTTACTGTCACTTTATATAGTAACATACTGATCGAATCCAGTTTACTACAACTCATGCAGCCTATTTTTACTTTGGAATCTGGGTCTTTTAATACTTCTAAGGACACAGCTGTTCAATCTGAATCTCCCAGTCCTAAGTAGTTCTGTCACCCTAAGCAGTGGTGTAAGGTCCTCAGATGATGAGACAGTAAACTGTATAACTTAGTATACCAATACTAATAATCTAATGCGGCTCTCATGTTTTCACCATCATTATCTTATCATTATCCATTGTCATTATTATTCTTTCTCTCTCATGGCCAAAAATATGAGATGATCTTTATACTGTCACATTGCAGATTAAACTTTAACACAAATCACAATTTATACTGATGATTTCATGGGTTATCATGCTTTGTATTCTGTTACATTTCAGACCACTACATTTTCTCCTTCTCTCAGAGACTTTCTGTTGTGAGAGAGGTGGTTTCTAAAATGTGTCTCCACTAATGTTCTGTTCCAGATTACCAGGAGGGTTGCATATTTACTCTAAGTGGCATTCTGAACAAGCACAACTTCAAAAATAACTGAAAAACAATAGCATTTTTGCCTCTAGTCATCTCTTTAATTTTACACAGTGAGATTCCTCTGTTATGGGCAAATAAATGCTTTCCCAATCCAATGCGGGCCTTCTGGTGGCTGTAAAGAGGAATTTCAAATGCCAGCTTTGTCCACAAGCTGTCTTGTCTCTCCCAACATAAACCTACTAGGAGCTTCTTTGTATCTTCTCATCAGGGTTGAAAACAAAATGAGAAAGAAAAGAAAGGGAAGGTACATGTGCTGAGCTGCTGCA